AAAAAAAAAAAAAAAAAAAAAACCCACAATGCTAGCATGCTACCGATTAATGCAAATTCAAGTAATGCAAATTTAAGTGGTATTTAAAGGTTGTCTCTTTGTCTGAGAGGAGGATGAAATGGTCGGTTTGGAAAGAAGCAATTTCCTAGGCAAGCCGTCAGCGTTTGTTTTTCCTGCTTACCTTGGGGGAAACGTAGGGCTCCTTTCTTCTCAGACTTTTCTGAGAGCTAGAAAGAGGTCCTGTTACTTCCAAATGCTTTTGTTCTTCTGTCCCTCTGTCACATGGCTTGCCTTTTATATTTGCAACACACAAAAGTTAGGACTGTTGTTTAAGCGACACAGGGAGAGAGAGAGGGAGAGGGAGAGGGAGAGAGAGAGAGAGAATGTCAAATGGAAAAGTGCCATTGCAGTCATATATCAATCAGGCGTGCGGCCGCAGCAGCGCACTAGCAAATGAGAATGCCACGGAAATGTGAGGCGCTCCTTATCGGGGACTCGGCCACTGCCCACCGCTCGGCTCCCTTCCACGGAGCATCTTACGATGGGATGGGAACGACACAGAAGAACAAGGGCAAGGGCGAGGAAGTTTCCTCCCCCCACCCCCATCCCCCTTTTGGAATAACAAGAGGCTGAATGAATATTCCGGGTTTAATTCTTTGGCAAGCATGCCCTGGAGATGGGCAGTCCGCAGGGAAGAGTCGTAGTTTTGGAAATACAGGGACGGTGGCATTCTGTTTAACGATTCAGCAGCTGCCCGAGATGAAGTTGAGATTCTAAGTATAAGGGAGGAGGAGGACGGGAATCAGAACGAGTTCTCAGGCGATGCTGTAGAAGCAAGTGCAAAACGCTGCCCCGTTTCATCACGATGTGTGTGGGTGGCGAGAGCTCTTTTCTGAGTTGTTCATCCATTACGTGATTTCTAGCAGCGTGTACACGATGAAATCCACAAGGGCACGTTAATAAGTGCCTTCATCTGCATCACTTAGAATAAAACTCTCCATATGGTTTTGAAACAATGAGAAAGTGCAGCCCTTGGCTCCTGGGAATATAGGAGTGTGAAACTAACAGGTAACTCTCCATACGATTTTGAAACCATGAGGAAGTGCAGTCCGTGGCTCCTTGGAATAGAGGAGTGTGAAACTAATAGGTAAGGCCGACTCCCCAGCGAAACGGCTAGTTTTGTACAAAAGTGGCAAAGGTCACTATGTGTGGGCGCTAAGTGCTTGCTAGCTGGATAACGCTGTTTAGGAGCTGTGAAAAGACAAAGGGGAATATTTCCTTCAAAAGCTTAAAATTAAGACAGAAAACCATCAAGCAATTTTTGTGGAGAACACAAAGAACCATTGAACCATTTATGCATTATTTTATGTCACACGGACACAGCCCCAGAATGATTTTTTTTAAATTAACCCTGATGAAGAATTAAACTGAGAATATTTAAAAAATGGCATTTCACGGAAGAGTAAATGTATCATAAAACTGAAGAAGAAATTTCTCTTGGGAGGTCCATAGGGTTGTTGATGCCGAAACTGTCATGTTCATTTGTTCATTAATAAATTGATGATCACGTCATTGCTTTTCCACAGAACTTTTACTCTAAACAGTCATTGATGTTTACAAGAGGTGTCTTCAAATGTTCAGTTATACCTCTACCTTTTTCAGAAGAAGCCTTTCCTTTTGCCCCGTCAGCAAAACTCTGTCTACCTGGGACCAGCCAGTTACAAACAGAATCCACCTACAAGGCCGAAGGAGAAATGACAAGTTCAAAGCCTTGCAAGAAAACCGGGCACTAGGGCCGATGATGATACTGGCCAAATGTCTTAAAAGCAGAAGATCAAAAAAGCAAATGGAAATTGGGCCTTAAAAATGGAAACAATCTGAAAGGGAAAATGACTTGTAGCTGAGTAAGAGCCATGGAAATAGTCATGAACACATTTTCTGGCTCAGTTCTCTGGGTCAGATCGGGAGGGAGGATGAACTCTTTGGCCACCAACACGTTCAAATATCACAGCTTGACGCCCATCCACCTTTGTTCATTTCTCTCAAATAAATACCTTGTGGCTTTCCCAACGCGTGGTCACCACTCCGCCCTACTATCTGTTTCCTCTGGGTTTCTCAGAGTTTATCTGCTCTGAAGGGACGTCAAGAGGTGTATGGTCCTTCCCGGTTGGAATTTTCCAGCCTTGTACAACCTGCCCTTCTGCAAGAGCACCACAGAGAAGTGTAAAGATCGCAAACACATTGACTGCTTGGCCACAGAAGACCGGCTCTCTCCCAGATGGAGCCCCACTGCTTCCTCCAGCCGTTTATTCTGTCAGGGGTGGCGAAGAATACCATCTGCTCCCTTCTCAAGAGAAAGGCTTCGCCTCCGCCCATTGGGCTCCAGAAGACCCGTTTCCGAGCCTATCAATAGGCATCTGGCGACAGGAACTCTTTTTTTCTCACATCGTGCTTTTCAGAAAGGTCGCTGTGCCACGTATGGTTACTTTACTGGCTTGTTGTAAACATTGCTGAGGAAGAAGGGTTCCCTTTAAATTTCCACCCATGCCAAAAGGGATGAAAATACTCCTACTGCAATTTCACATGCACTCGGGGTTCTGAGAAGGAGGTGTCTATCAGCTGGATGGGAAATCTTTTAAGGGCTCGCTTCTGAGCCTTTGTTTTCTGGTGCTGCTTTCAAGTTCTCTCTCTCTCTCTCTTTCTTGGGAGCTCTCGTGGGTATTTACTGGAGCCGCCGAGCATCCAAACACCTAGGAAGGGATGGGTAATCCCAAGACAGGTCCTGCCTCCTCCCTGCAGAATCTGAAGGGAGGAGGTATTTCCTCTCCCCTCTTTGGGCAGCTGGAGAGCCGGGTGGATGTGCCATCCAGGAGGAGTGGCCAACACATGCAGACATTCAAAGGTTATTCTCCATGGTTGTTCTGGAATGGAGAGCCCGGAGGATACAACAGCCAATGTCGGGGGCAACCGAGCCCAGCCACGTGAGGTGGCTCTCCTGGGGACACAGGGTCCAAGAAGGCATCCTTAGCAATTTGCTCTTTTTGGCTACATCCGTATTCACCATTTTATGAGCCTGGATCTCCAGCTTTCCACGTGATTCTGTGAACGGTACCCCCCATCACCATATCCACCAAGATCCTGCCAATAAATTCCTTTCTGCTTTAATTAGCAAGAAACAGTTTTTGAGATGGGCGACCAGGTGTCCTGACCTGAGCATTCAATTTTCCAAATTTAGGCAAACCAACACCATTAGCATACAGATGGAAATGTAGCCTTTACTTCTTCTTAGTCACTTCCCCAAATAAAAAAGTGGTTTCCGATTCACTGACCGTCTACTATAGTCTCTGTTATAAAATTTCAAATGTAGAAAATTCCCAGCAAGACCCGTAGTTCTTATATATCAATACTTATCGAGGTACCCACTGAGAGCCAATAACATTTCATATCATATCTACATGGATAAAGATAGGAGTGTGCGAGTGTGTGTGTGTGTGTGTGTGTGTGTGTGTGTGTAAAATCCAGACATACTGGCATAATCTGCTAGTCACAGTTTTTAATTCTCTATGAGAATACTAATCTTTACCATCCTCATGAAGAGGATAGTATTCATTCAAAAATACCTATCCATAATAATAACGACAACAACTATTGAATGCTTTTTTACTGTCTGCTGGGCTCTGAGCGAAATATTCTATACGTATGCTCTCTTTCAGGGAGATACACAACAGTCCTGTAAGGTGAATATTATTATTCTCTTTTATACTAAGACTTTTTCTCAAGCTTATTTATTTATTTTTGAGAGAGTGAGAAACAGAGTGCGCATGAGCGGGGGAGGGGCAGAGAAAGAGGGAGAGAGAGAGAGTCCCAAGCAGGCTCACGCGGTGCCAGCACGGAGCCTGACGGGTGGGGCTCACCCCCATGAACCGTGAGACCAGGACCTGGTGTCATCAAAAACCTCAAACTCTTTCCACTTCTGTCGTGCTCACCATTCTTGGCTTCTGTTCCCTGGGAGGTTAATTCGTGAACCCAAGATAACCGGTGGGGACTCTAGAAATCGCCTCTCGATTCAGGGATCAAGAGGGAAGGAGGAAAGAGCTTGCTCTATGCCTGCTTCTTAGTGATCAAAAAGGTTGACCAGTAGGTGAGTAGATCGCCAGTAGCCTCTGCCACAGGAAGAGCCACCCTATATACCTCGGAGTGTGACGTGTGCTATGAGGCAAACAAAACAGTAATGAGATAAAGAGTAAGTGAAGTAGCCCAGGAAGAGGGCTGAATTAATGGGGTGAGCAGAGTTGGGCACCCCGTGGAGGTGGCATTTGAATGTAAATGCTAAGAGCAAACTTGGGAAGCAGAAATGCCAAGGTGGCTGGAAAGAGGGAGAGGGACAAGTGATAGGAGCTGGGCCGGACATGAAAGCAGCAGTCGTATACGTCACATAAAGTTTTAGGGGCGGCTGGGTGGCTCGGTCGGTTAAGCGTCCAACTTCGGCTCAGGTCATGATCTCACGGTCCGTGAGTCCGAGCCC